AGTCTAGGTCGAGTGTTTATAAGAAATCTAACTAGTTTTTGTTTTGTGAAGTCAAGAATAACAAACGATCAATGAATTTATTTCTATGGCTTAAACATTCCAATAAATATTATTTATAATTTCTAATTCTACAATATTTTACATTGTATTTACGAACGTAGAATATATTATAAATTCAAGTTGATAATTTGTATTCTATACTATGATGTCGAATTAACAACGTAAAAATTAGCAATGGTTTAAGTCTGTCATTTTTATGATGTTTTATGAAAGTTATGTTAATTACAAATTGTGGTTGATATTTAATTATATTTAAGGCTATTAGAAAAGTGACGTTTTTCACGAATTTATAGAAAAAAAAAAAAAAAAGAAGAATGTGATAGTATTATGTTTTTCTATTACAGAATTTAAATACCTCATTCAAAGTATATTAGGAGAATAATGTTATTATAATTTAAATGAACAGAAAGCTAAAAGCGATTCATTATATTCGTATAAAACACAATAATAGATATTATTTAATACTCCCCTCTATTTTAATTAAAAAAAAAAAAATATACATCTTTAATATAACAAATTATAATAGTATTATTTAATATAAAATAAGTATAAAAATAATAGTAATAATCATAAAAAATATTGATAAGATATGTAAAAAATAATTTACAATTTTATCCGTATCTGCGTGTACAAATGTACAAGCTCTGTGTATGTAAATAAAGATCAAAAAAATATAGGTAATATTTACAGCAAAACGGATAAAATACATTTATAAGGATACACGATGGTGTACAATAATAATACTATGTTGTATCGTTCATATTTTGGAATTATATTGTACAAAACTCCAAGACAAAGCAGAAAAAGTATATAAAATTATATGAAACAATAAATATTACTTTATACATATGTATGCATAGAAAAGCTTAAAAGTACATGTGATACGATTAATGATACTCATCATTATAAAAATAAAAATAAAATACAACATAGTGCAAGATTTACAAAAAATTAAGAAATCAGCTACTTGAGATATAATAAGTTATAAGTTATATATATAATTAAATAGTATTATTATTAATAATTATAATGTGCGTGTAACTTATATAATGTAAATGTTCATGCATTTGTATGGTAAACACAGTAATACAAACTTATTCGCAATAATATAAATTGTTATATTTTGTATATATTTCAATTTTGCATACTCATACATTACATTTAATATTAAGAAAGTATATATAGTATTTTTATATTTATTGTTATAATCAAATGTAAAAACATGTTTCTAATAATCGCTTAGTATCCGAGTTTTGAGTAGCATTCACAATTATGCATTATTCATTATGCTTCATTATTATGCTTATTCCAAATTTTAATTTTTTTACAATCGTATAATATAGAATCGAATAGTTGACGAATAATTTTAAAGGAAATTATTTTTGTTAGCTCAATTTTAGGTTAAGTGATTGAATGTGTACACACATTGTATAAAATTATAAATTGTGTATTTTTTAGTACGTAATTAATATAATTGTTGAAGATTCCCACAGATGACTAGCGTTAATCAAGATTTTCAATGTTTATATATTGTAATACTATAGTATATAATAGTATATTATACCAAATGACGTTTTTGAGTTCAGTTTTTACGTAGATTTATTCAACTACATAAAGATAAACGGATTACAAGTTAAAATATATAGCAAAGAAAAAATCAAAATTTTTATCCTTCTTTTTACGAAAGGTATAATTTGTAATTATTTTTAATCTTATCTAAACCAATACATGCTTCATCAGCAGTGTTAGGAATAGATAATGCAAAACATATTTAGATAAAGATAATAGATAAAAAAAAATTAAAATATCTAGATAAAAAAAAAGATATTTTCAAAAAATGTTATTTTTTTGGTCAAATTTCATATTCTAATATCTACGAAAACTCAATTATAATTATTATTATCAATAGGTACATAAGTGTTTAATGTTTATTTTAGTAATGCTGTGTACCATTAAGCAGTATTTATATATAATGTACAATATTTAATGATAGTTAATCACTAAAATGTTACACAAAAAAAAAAAAAAAATTGCTCTATACGTATCAGGATGAATACAGAATACATAAAAAATTATTTTAAGTTAACAATATTGTTTTCCGTATAATATTAATTTAATTATTTTCATTACTCTATAAGTAGTTACGACTTTATGGGTTCCAAGAGTGAAGTAATGACTATTCAGCGTATAAGTTACATGTGTATACTAAAATCAAATACCTACTATATTTGGAACTTCCATGGAAAAATAAAAAATTTAGTTTAAAAATACCAAAAATATTTTCCTGACATGAAAACACAAACAAAATGTCATACCAAGAAATAATAATTACTTATTAATAATACACGAATTATGATCATGAATATAAAATCTATATGTATAAAAGAAAGTCAGGTTATTTAAAGAATTTATAATTCAAGAACGGCTGGACTGATTCTAATGATCTCTGATTTATTAGATTCGTCTCCGTACAAGAATGAAAATAACTCTGATCTTGGCAAGAATACAGATAATTATCCAGATAAGTAATTAGATAACTTAGCGTTATTTATCTATATAAAATAAAAGATAACGAAGAATCTATCTAGATAATTCCCGACACTGTTCGTCAGTTTAACCAAAAAATTGATCCAACGGTGGTCATTTTATTAAAAATTATCAAATACTTTATAAATATTTCGTAGAAGAAACATATACATTATATACCCAATTATGCAGTATATTATATTATTGAATATAAATTTTACAATCAAAACTAGAATTATAAACTGATTATTTTATTGCAAGGCAAAAGCTATTAAAGTTTATTTTAGATTGAATCGAATTACTATTCGTTGCTTTCATTCTTAGTGACTCCCATCACAATCGTTTATGAATTATCGAGTATAATATCTGATTAATTAAAGTTGAAAAAAAGCGATTTACGATTAAGAACATTTTAGGAACTTTGTATTAATTTTAATTTTTTTTTGCCTTGGTATTATTCATTGTTTTTACTAAAACCAGGAAGCAAATAAAAATATTCTAAACATATAAAAATAATTAATTGGTTTATTATTATTGTATATGTATTGCATGATCGTAATCTACGCTTAAATCCAACTGTATTGAATCGTGTTTACATTTAACCGTTACGAAAATAAGTAATAGTATGCAATAATAACGTGTAATATGAATATTTATTTTGTTAATATTTAATTAATCTTATGACGTAGAGAAAATAAATTTAATGTCATTCTTAAATAGTAATAATATCAAGCGAGTATGTACGTAATGTGTCTTTTATTGTATCTAGCTCACTGATCTGCATGGGTGTTAAATTTCATTATTATTTAATTAAAATGTCTCGGTAACGGGATTTTATATAAATATAAAAACACGTATACAATAATGTTATGTCAATTTTTTTTTTCACACACGCTTGACACTTACATAATATCTTGAACACGCATTAAATGATTTTTGACGGATTACTGTAATTGAGTTGTGAATCATTTATAATATATTATTGTGTTTTTTGCGTGTTAAAATTATGTTTCGTTAATATATTAAAAATGCCATAGCGCACAGTATAATACTAATATTCGTCTTAACGGTTGTAGTTCAGTTTTCAACATTTTTTTCCAACAACTCATAACAGACGATATTTTACTAACGGTAAAATTCGTACTTATCCAATAATTTTATTTAGAAACACTCTTTGGTCAATATTGTCATCATTACAAGGAGATTAAAGAAAACTTATGTGGTATAGATGAAAAATATTTGAAGTAGTATGAAAGATTATTTGATGAAGCAGTCGAAAATATTATTCCAAATAATTTATTGATATATGTATATATATACAGTACATTTATAAATATATATATATATGTGTTATTCAAGTTTTTTCGTTTTACAACATTTGAATGATGATGTGTTCCGTATATATTTTATAACTAAGTATAACGTAACTATAATAATGTCCCCTTAATAATACTCGGAGCATAATGTTTTTATTTTTAGTGCCACACGAACGATTTCCTCACATTTGAATACACTTATCCGTACAAACATGAGCGTATTGCTATTCTGCAGTACTATAAATATAAGTTTTTCCTGTGCGGAAGTCATTCGTACGATATACAAAGCACACCCCCGGATAGTTTGACAAGATTCTCATATTTACGATACATAAAATTATATGCTGATGTGCCGAAATGTTATAGGAACCATTTCTCTCGCGCAAAAACGAAAATAAATATTTACGAATAATATTTATGGACAGTGTTAACATGAATCGAGACAATAACACGGCCGTCACCGATATCTCTCTACGGTTAAAGGGTTCTGAACAGGACAAAAGGACCGTCCTTAATTATTGTTAAACAGTAGACTACTATTGGATATATATATATTTATCTTGTTTAACCAGCAATACGGTATCGATACGCATTTACGGAGAGCTAGGAGCGAATTTAATTCTATGGAACTGGAAATCGCGCGGTAAGAGGAGAATTTGAAACAAGAGAAAGGGGAATTGTTTGGACTGTTTCGGTAAAAGAGAAAATCTGTTATACCTGTTGAGCCATAAGAGATTTCACACTTCGTTTGATTTATCTATGTGTATCCACCTATGTGTAATTTTCATGTATATTTTTTTTCTTTTAACCCTCTAACCATTAGAGGTCAACGGATGCCCGTAAGTGAGCCAAAACACGTTGTACAAGAACACGGCTAAGTAGATGAATTCTAGAACAATTCCAAGCACAGTGCCGCTCATAATAACTAAACAATGCATTCTGTAAATCTGTTCAAGTTTACTCCTATGTATAAATATATGTACATTCATATTTATATTTTATGGTTATTATTGAATATTGTTATTATTATCATTGTAAATATAGGTATTTCTTTTTCGATTAATCGTGAGAGCAATACGCACTCGTTGTCGTGCTTACCTTGTCATTGTTATTTATTATGACATCGCACCACTGTTGCACTCCGGCTACGCGGAAAGATGTCAGCCGGAGAAGAAGGACACAATCGGTTTTAAGGTTATAGTTTTTCTTGCGCGCGGCACAGTAGGGTAGCGGGCCCCGAATACACGTGTGTCCGTCGGCAAAATAGTGAGAAAGAGGTAGAGAGAGAAAGATAGAGATATGAGAATAGGGAGAGTGAGTGAGAGAAAAACAGATAGAACGAACGGAATTCGGAGAGAGGTACGACGATAAACTAACGGTGCGTGGCGGACGATACAAGGTGCCGAGCAACAGCGACGAAGCGGCAGAAGAAAAATAAAATAAACAATCGAAAGCAATCCGGAAGAAGAGGAAAAACGAAATCGGAACGAAAAAAAAAAAAAAAAAAAAAGAGAAAAAAAAAAGGGGAAAAGAAAAAAACGAAAAGCGAAAAAAAAAAAAAAAAAAAAAAATAGAGAGAAAAAAACGGTTTGTGTAGCGAAAATCTTTTCGCGCGCGCCCCGGAGACCGCGTGTGCTTCTGGCCCCGCAAAACCGACGCGGCGTGACGACGCTAACACCCGAACTACTGACGACGACGACGTTCGGTGGCCGCCACGCGGATTTCGACTGCCGTCCGGTATCGGTTGGACGGGGCGGGGTGGTTACGAGGGCTACGGGCGGCCGCCGGTGTACGCGCTTGCGTGCCGCCGCCACCGCCGCGGTTCGCCCTCGGACGTAAGCAGTCGACGGCACACACGGTCGGCGTCGTCGCCGTCGAAATCACGTACAGTAATTATTCACGAGCCGCGTCCGGAAAGAATCGCGCGGCCGTCTGAAACCCATTTTTAGTCGTCCTACTTCTAAACTAAACTGCTAAACAACATTCGTCCGTACAGTTTATTTTTTCATGAAAGTATCTTGACATTAAACTTATTTAGTGCATTACCGACGAAACCGTTGATCGTTATCGAATTCCATAGAACCGTCTGATTGGAAACTTTTATCGTACTATCGACAGATTTCGATTTTTACGCTACGAATATAAATACATTTTTTTTTCACTCCGAATGTATAATATTAAAATTTAATTTTTCCCAAATCCACTCTTATTTTACTTGCTCCCCCGTTCTAAATATGTTTCCCCCGAGTCATTTTTTTTTCCATCCGTGGTAAAGGGACATTTTATTCGAATCGTACGAGTTTTTTCTTGGTTTTCAATTTTCAAAGGGTATTACTGAAAATCTCGCTATTTTATGTACCTACACATAAAATAGACCAAATTATAAACGATGAATCAAGAAAAATCCCTAAACAGCTCCAACATCGTGCACACACCCGGTCCATTACAATCGCAGCCATACATATATTAATTAATATGTCAATAACAATTAATAATTATTGTATTCCTTTACCATTGCTACGGAAGCCCTGAGAGCGCCTATAACAACCGTTAATGCGATTGTGTGCATGTATGTATGTCTGTATACTTACTTGTGTGTGTGTGTGTGTGTGTGTGTGTGTGTGTGTGTGTGTGTGTGTGTGTGTGTGTGTGTGTCAATGTATGAGTGTGAGTGTCTGTGTGCGCGTGCATATGTTTGTATGTTTGCTAGGCCGTAACCAAAGGTATAATCTCCTGAAAGTTTTATATTTATTATTATACTTATGGCCGGCAAGCGAAAAATTAGATTACATATATTTTGGTCGTCTAAAACTAGACGAACCCCTAATATAAATAACCGTAGTTTTCGTAGAGTTTTACGAATTTTACTTTATAAAATATGCATTGAAATTGCACCATTTAACGAGTTTCATATTAGTCCAGGTGTGTACAATTAAATTGTTTCGATCTGAAGGAATTTTATTTTGAAAAAAAATATGCTGACATTTTCACGATTTATATTAGTGATAAATACATATCGTATTGATTTTTTTAACACCACCTCAAGAATTATTTTCATGCTACCTTATGTGCTTGTGTGTACATTAAGGATGGAGAGACAATGGGCATATCCCCGGAGTATTCAAATCTTACAAAGTCGTTACGTCTACGTTCTAAGACGTGTACAATGCGAAAAAAGGGTTTGAAATATCGTCTTAGAACTTTTTTTAGTCTTGAAAATCGGAAATGTTCTCATTTTCCAACACCGATTTTTATAAATCTAAATATGTTTACTCAATGCTTGAATAAAAAACATGTCTTTTTTCATAATTTGTTGTTTTTCATTGGATAAGAACTATTTAAATGGCTAATATCGTATTAAAATATTTAATGTTTGACAAACCATTTATTTTTGATGAATACTAGTAGAATATATTTTTAAGTTAGATGGTTAGATTACACTATCATTAACAATTTTATAATGTTTAATCTTCTATTAAAAACTAAAATTACATCTGTACTTATTTATACTGTTTATATCATACAATATTACTATCAAATTGACATTAGACAGTATTCGGTATTTATTGACTTTTTGTGAAATTTGTTCCTTGTTTACGATGTTAAAATAATTTACTATTTATTATAATGAATCAGAATTTTTTCATATTATTTATTAGTAAAATTTAAATATTATTTGACTAAAAAATTAATGTGAAAGTCACAGTCGTGTGAGTTTGTATGTATGTTCCAACTAATCCTTGTGCTATATTGCACAATGAGAAAAGGATTATAAATTCTCAATTTTTGTTTTTGTTTTTACGTTTATTGACAAACTCTAATATCAACCAGGCACTCATTGTAAAAATCTTATAACTAAAATATACTTTATTTAATATATAATTGATTTTACTTAGCTTATATATTAGCACATCTCTGACTTGCAATTCAATAACTGTATAGTTATAATATAATTGACTCATTAATTAGCTAAAAAAAATATTATTTTATTCTTTAATATAATGAATCCATCAATTTTTTCATAAATTCTCCTATTCTTATTGTAAAATAATTAGTTTTCGTCATATGCAATCTTGATTAAAATGTAATATATTTACTGCATGTATTTTAAATCAAAATCATAATTTAATTATTTTTTCAATATTTTATTTATGTGTCTAAAATATAATCCATTTCTATAGCCCCTCTAAATTGGAATTTTGAAATTCTAATAGGGCAGATCGTTAGTTCATTTATACACGAAGTTCAGTCGTTTTTTCACAATACTACAGAAGATATTGAAAAATCAAATTTGGAGGGTCGTAGAAACGACAGTCTCCCAATTAGGAATAAAAGCAAGAAAATTAACTTTAGATCAACAACGTTTTATTCTTAATAAAATTAAAAAATACGAAGGGGAAAAAACCGATTTGAGTTTGTAAAATCTGTATCATGTAATTTAAAAAAATTATATTCTTTTAGTATTAGAAAAAAAATTATTTCATACTTGATTAGTTTTATGGACCTTTTATATATAATTTAATTATTATGATTTTTAATATGTTTTTTATAACATAAACTGTAGATACAACTAAATGAAACCACGGTATTTTATGAACTGTAGTGAGCTGCGAGATCATTTATTCGTTTACGGTTCAAACATAAATTGTATACTAAAATATGAAATAGCTAGAATAATTACAGAAATGTTAATAGTAGAATAATTTTTTATAATATTTTCATATTATGACAAATTTTATGTTCATTATTGGAGTGCTCTTGAAATGAAGGTATATAGAAAATATGTACAGCATAATAACATTTCAACAATATACGTAGACTCAACAGGTAGTTTAATAAAAAAACGAACTGTAATATCCAAAAAGAAATCAAAAAATATTTTATTCTATCAAATCGCTATATAAGACACAACTATTAAGGCTTAATATTCAATAAGTCCGCATGTTATGAAACATTATACAATTTCTCATTTACATAAATATTTATTATTATTTAATAATAAATTATAGTTTTTTGAACATAATGTATAGTTTCAGTTAACAAACGATACACTAACAATCTGCCCAATAACAATTTCAAAATTTCAGTTTAGAAAATCCTAAAAAATAGACCCTCAAAAATGTAGTGTTCAAGTTACCTAAAATCATTAAATACATACTATATTATAAAAATCGTTTACATTACAATGAACTACATTCGTGATTTATGACTCGTAGTACGATGGAACTTAATCATATATTTTTACTATAAGACTTGCCGCGAGCATCTTAATGTTTATAATATTTTAATTTAAATTTTAAGTCGTATCTAAAGGTGATCTCCGAGGATTTATAAAATATTAAAACGTAAGTGATGAAAATTCGACATAAACGTCGTAAATTTATCTCCAGAGAAAAAATTCATAAATAAACGAATTCTTCAATCAAAATCATTGTCATTTATTAATCAACATCAATTTCTTTTACTGTAGAAAATAACTAATTTTCAAAATGCTTGAGTTGTATTTAAGTATGTAACTATAAATATTTTTTCAAAATATTTATATTTTATAAAATATAAAATTTAGTATCCTTCCTTTAAATATATCTTACACACTAAATTTCTAAAGCTTCTTCTTTTAATCTATTTCGTCCACTATAAGCAATATAAGTAACTTCATCGTACTATAAAACTGCATAAATATTCTAAAATAATAATAATAATCATATTTAGACAATAATTATATTAGGAATTATGTTATATAAAACTATAAATGTCTATATAAGTTGTTGATTTCGTTGTAATATTTGTTGATCCTCTTCATGGAAAAAATATTTTTTTACGTAGGGAACTTTTTTGGTAAGTATTAACCATTGTGAAATGTGGCCTTTTATTAAATAAAACTCAACTCGTATTTTTAAGTCCTACACAATACCAATGAAACGTTCCTGTTGGAATTAAATTCCCTTTAGAAATCTATACAATATTAAATCAGTAAAAAATCACAGATTTTTTCAAACATACCTTATTAAATATATTTAATATATCAAATTATTGTTATAAATTATATTATTACTTATTAATATTTTAAATAATACCATTTTTATATTAAATTAAATTTAAATTAAATTAAGCAATAACATCAATTAAATAATATATAATATATATGTTCAAAAAATTTCAGACATCATATAAAAATAGTTATAATAAGTAATTTAGAAATATATTGAATGTTTTAATAAGCAACAACTATTACCATGGTAAATTTAAACTATTATTAAGAATAACATTGATCGATCATAAAATGGCACAACGAATTATTAGTAAAAATAATTTATTTTGAAATTAATACTTATTTAAATTATATTTTTATTATAAATAATAAATTAACGAAACCTCGTATATAATTATTATGTAAATCCGTACATATTAATAATTAAATATAATCAGTATAATAATTCTAGAATAATTTGTGTGATCACCAAACTTATTTGCTAGTCGTAAATACTTGTTAAATAA